CCATGGGTATTATGAGCGTTGTGGTTCAACGGTTCAACCGATCTGAATCGTTTCGTGAAGTCACGTGGTATCGACAGGCAGCGAGGCTTCGTTTGTCATCGATGACGTCATTGGCCCAAAACGATACAAGCCTCGATACATGCTTCACAAAAAGCTTCGGGGATTACTCGACACACGCTCCGAAGCCTCGGCGCAATACGTAACATCACTAGCGCTTAGTATTCTACAAATGTTTAAATCAAAGTTAACCCTATAGTCAGTTAGTTCAGTTTTAAGGTTTCAGTCAAATTACTTGTCCCAAGTTTCTGCCTGACAGATACTGTAGCGGTTTTGAGATTTAAAATCACAATTTCAGTCAGATCAACTACAGAGCATTGATACAGAGTACACACACTGAAACAGAGAAGTCTAAAAACAGAATGATACTCACACAATTCTAGAAGTCTCCAGTTGCTTTCCTGTCAAAATCGAGTTGCACAGATATTAAATAATGTCTTCAGTGATCCCATGACATTTACCCTTATACAAAGACAAGACATGTTTTTTTTTTAATTGTTTGACAGTTCTCTGTGAAATTTGCTGACTATTTGTTTTTTTTGTTTTTTTTTTCTTAGGCTTTAATGATTATATAGCTTAAAGGTCCCATGTCATGCTTTTCCGGTTATTACTCGTCCCCTTGTGTGTAATGAAGGTTTTTCTGCATGTAAACGGTCTGCAGAGTCACTAACCCTCAAAGTACACCCTGCAGCGAGTAAAACTCTAACACAGAAAATACCTGTCTCTGCTGCCCCAGAACGCCTCGTTGGACATTTCTCTTTTTCCATTGGTGTCTTCCTCGGTACAGTGACGTGCCCGTACCCAAATGGACTCATTGGTCGGAGCGGCGAAACTGTGGCGCGCTTACACTGTAGGTGCGCCGCGTTTGGGGGTGCGGGTGCTAATGGAGCCTTGCGGGTGCGGGTGCTAGTGGAGCCTTGCAGATGGGGGTGCTGCAGCCCCCTCAGCCCCCCCCCCCCCCCTTCCCGCGTCCATTCGCGATGTCTCGCACAGATCTCACACAGCAAGCAGGAAATGAACCCAGCTCACACTGTCCGCTCCTCACAGCAGCGAGCCTCGCAACGTCCCGCCAACACGGCACCCAGACCCCACGCAGCATTCTCATCTGTTTGTCATTACTGGTGTCATTTTCTGGTTGCTAACGCCATGGTAACACATAATCACTGATGTTCCGCTGTAACGGTGGTAGACTCATCAGAGCACAGTGGGCTCACAGGGAGGGAGGGGGGGGGGGGGGCGAAACTCCAACAAGCCGTGTAGGACAGAGAGTGAATACACATACTATACAGAGATGCTGTATGAGAAACCAATGTGAGTTTGGAACATAGCACAATATAAATCTATTCTAGTAGACCTCAACAATGGAATTATGATCAGTAGAAATGGCCATGACATGGGACATATAAGATTGTGAAAGGGAGCGAGAGATGACGACATGTATTTGTATATGGGTCTCCTGCTTTAAATATTGGAAGCAATATTATGCTACACATATTGGAGGTAACTTGAGGAACAAATCTAATGGCCTTTGTGACCCTCTCAACATTTCATTTAGTGCCATTTTCAGGCCACAATTTCTATTTGCCTATTTCCATGTAAGCATGATCACTGTTATCCTACTAATATTAGCATGTACCACCACCATTGTGTACAGGTCTTATAGTGCTGCCAACAGGGCTGTTGTCTCGCAGACAAATACATGAAATCTGACCCCTGCCTGGTGCCTCTGCTTAATAAATAAAGCCTGTATTATTGGCAGAATGTGTCCCATCTGTGCCTCGAAAAAAGGCGTAAAACCCCATTGAATCCGGCCATGTGGAGCTCATGTTGTTGTCTTCCCTGTATTAAGTGGACAGATTGTATATTTACTGTTTGGAAATGGCATCTGTTTACATTTGCACTTAGCAGCAAATCTGAAAAGAAGATATGATTGATTTTCAGTGATGGAAAATCATAATTCTAAGCTAGCTGTCGGCTCCAGCTGAGTCATAACTTATTTCAGTTCTGGGGTAACACATTTCAGCTTCAGTGGGTCAGCAGTCTCCACATTATATACAGTAATGGAGGCGCAGTGTGTTTGTGTTCATGTTTGGTAAACCTGCCAAGCGATGTTAAAAATGTGTGGCAGGTAACAGATTTTCTCATCTCGAATTCTGTGTAAACGTAAACCTTCTGTAGCAGCGAGGCTCTGATTGGTGCATGCTGGTGTGCAGCCTCGAGAGTAATTAAAACACAGGGTGGATAGGAGCGAGTACAGCTGCGTAATTTAGTTATTCTCCACACAAAGTAGAGTAAGGGCACATGTCAGAAAGAAGAGTTCAGTTTTTTCATTATGATACAATTAACCTGCATACGCAAGCATACCCACTTCTTCACCTTCATGGTAAATCAACTGCATTTATATAGTCCTTGTCAAGTCTTTACAACACGTAATAATAGGAAATAGTAGTCGAATTTTAGTCATTTAATTCTAAATTAGTTTTAACACATCATTCAGTGTGTACAAATATTTGGTATAGAATCCTGGTATAAATGTTGCTGTCATGTATTCACTCATGATTAGCGTACTGAATTTGAGATGTTTATATATTTATCTCTAAAATAACAGTCGTGAATATTTCTTTATCTACCACAAGAGTAATGGGAAATTATAAAGTAAGTGTCAAAAGAGCATATATTTTTGTTTATACTTCTTCTGACGTTTTTTGAACTCTCCTCATGAACGTTTTTTACTCTCTCTTGGTACATCTTCCCCGGGGGGATATAATAATATATATATATAATCACTTCCTCTGGTTCAAAGGAAAGTTATGATATTTTTCCCACATCAGCAAAAAGCAGATTGTCGGAAAAAAAGAAAGAGAAAAACTGAGTGGATATATGAGCCACGATCTTTGTGGGCAGGCAGGAGACAGAGGAGAATCAAAAGCTTTATTAATAGACAATTTAAGGAAAACTTGTCCTTTAAATGTCACTTTTAGATTACTACTGTCATGTGATAAAAAGATATAACGTGAATAAAGCACCACAGAATCCTACGGTCTATTCAGTTGTATACTCGATAGACAAACATGTTTCAAAAGGCCTACATAACTTCATTATATAAAAATTTAACAGTTGAAAAACAAAAGCACATGTTATTGCATATTGCATACTCGTCAATGACAATATTTCAAAGTATTTGTTTACATGCAATTTAAATTAACAACATGCCTTCTCATAGGAAATACATTACATTGCATTTAGCTGTTGCTTTTATCCAAAGCGAATTACAATAAGTGCATTTGACCAGGAAGACACAAACTTGAAGAAAACAGAATCATATAAGTAAATCAGGTTTCATAGAGCCAAACATTTCAAGTGCTACTCAACTGGCTTTAGATAAGCCAGTCCTTTGTTAGTATATAAGTGCTTAGTTAGTATATGAGTGCTTTGTTAGTATATAAGTGCTTAGTTAGTATATAAGTGCTTAGTTAGTATATGAGTGCTTTGTTAGTATATAAGTGCTTTGTTAGTATATAAGTGCTTAGTTAGTCATTCTATCGCTCGAAGTTGAGTCAAAAGAGATGAGTTTTCAGTCTGCGCCGGAAGATGTGCAAGCTTTCTGCTAGCCTGATGTCAGTGGGGAGCTCATTCCACCATCTTGGAGCCAGGATAGCAAACCCACGTGTTTGTGCTGATGGGAACTCGCAGTGCGGGTGCAGGACAACCAGTTAAAGCAGTTTCTGCTGGTTAAGCTTATTCCTTAGACAGGACTTTTAAAGTTATATTTCTTAAAAGAGGATTTCATTAAATGTTTGATGCCAAACTAGAGAATGAAACTTGGTTATTGGATAATGTTTTTTGTCCCCTTTTTGGTCTTCTGTGTCTGTTTCGAATAGCTTCATTTGAAATGACTTACCTTTGCAGGAAACATCGCAACACTTTTGCCTCTGTTCCTTGATTGTTCTTGAAAGCTTTTCCTCAAAGAAACTCATCAACCCCGTTTATATATTTGAAGTTTAACAGCCAAAAAAGAGAGTCGGATTGTGTTTTTGAGCTTAAATATAAACCTCAGCCGAAGAGTATTGTTTGGCAGAACATTTTAATTGGACGTTTTGAGCAAAGTAGTGGCTGCAAAGGGCATACAATCCTGTGCTTGAAGGATACACTGAGCATTAGAGGATATTATAGGCAGTTGATTAATAAAGAGGTATTTCTGAGCTGCTAGTTGATCTCATATTGATATATTTATCTGATTTACAAAGTGTGTTAAATGATCTGGCATCAAAAAGTGGGATGGTTTGTCATTGACATTTATGTTATTACATTAAAATGCCAAACAGATAACAGTGTGTTGTTAATTGTTTGAATAGTGTCTGTGTATCTGTCACAGTTTATTTAACAATGAGGTATTTGGTAGGAAAATGGCCGGGTAAATAACACTTTACTAATTTGGATCTTCAGCTTATTTTTCAGTATTTTAAAAGACGAACAAAAAATAGTTTTCATCAGAGTTCATGCATTATTTGCCACTTTGATTATTGTGGCAATTAAGTTGTGAAAACCTCGGCAGCCTCACCATGTATAATTGAATCTGCACTGCAGCTACTTCTACAAGCCCTAATTCAAATGGATTTTAATTTGGTGCTATGTATTCCCTTTTGTGACTCATTAAATATATCTAAGTTATTCAATGACATCAATGTTTTTATTTTCATTGGATAATCAAAGAACATTTCATCAATCTAATCTATGATCTAATGTGTGCTAATCTGTTCCTCTGTCTTTGTGTGTATAGCACATAAACAAGGTTAGAAAGGGGAAACCATATGATGTAAGATTAAGTATAGCTGTAAGAGCTTTTCTATAACGCAATAAAACTTTCACAGGCATGTTTTTTTTTTTCACCATCTCAGTTATGTTTCATGACAATATGACATATTCTCTGTTTTTTTTTTTAGGTCGTTCATTCAAGCCAAGCTGCTGCAAAGCCCAGAAATCTCTGGAGTTCATCCCAATAAACCTGCACACCCAGAGGATGAGGGTGACGTGCCCCAGAAAAACAGGTAATACAGCACTGCTTTAGACTTCTGTTATATCTATTATTACACCTAATACTAACACCTGGCAGAGCTAAGTCATATTCACACTCTTTTAGCTCTAAGCCTACTATCCGCATATCCGCCTATCCGCCTCCTTAGCTGTTACATTCTCCGTGATGTTCACCATCTTAGTGTGTCTGTCTGCTGGGGCTGAGCATTAGTTTAATAGAGATTTTTACTCAAACAGCGCTTTGAGAGTATTCATAGCGATAACACTGGCTATAAAACCCCATTAGGCAGATTTTAGGCGAGCCTTTTTCACATTTATTTTATTATTTCAAATTTGTATTCTGTCCATTGTTGTTATTATAAAAACATGAAGTAAGACTGCTTTCAAATGTTTAACAAACCTGCTGAAAAGCAACTTGGCTCAGCAGCTGTTATTTGCATTAGACAAGGCTGCATAAAATCCAGGAAATTAGAAAAATGTATAAATAAAAAGTGGACGGCAGAGTTCAAGAAGCCACAGGCCTTTAAGGAGAAAAACAAACTAGAGAAAGACAAAAAAACTTGACTCATATAGTATAGAAACAGAGACAACAAATAAGAAACAACTTACCATCCGTCACCAATAATACAATCCATAAAAACAAAATATAATACAGGAAATAACATGTCGTGTTACATGTCTAAAAACAATGAGAGGCCATGGATGGGTTTAGATTTGTACAAAGCAAGGTGGAGTTGATCAACCTGTCTCTGTAGTTGTATATGAGCGAAGGCAAGTACATTTAAAGATGTTGCTAAATTACCTTAATTTCTATAATCTGCTGTGGCTGTCACCTCCCTTTGTGATTCTCCGTCTGACTCCTCCATCTGTCAGAGATCCTCGCGGGTCTCAGACAGGGCAGTTCTAGGTCATCGCTCAGGTTGAAAGGTGAGAATTAACTTGGCCTGAGAAGATAGACAAACCACTAATTAAGCCCTTTGCGTTTTTCCTGAGAGAGACGGCTGTCTCCTGCTCTGTAACTGGCAGGGCCTGTTATTGCCCTGAAACTGTCTCTGTGTATTAAGGCAACTAACTGCTACCTCTCTACCTGTGAGGGGGCTCCATTTTCATTCATACGCTCCATGATTGATGCGCAGTCGAAGACGGACAAAACCTTGACATAAACCTAGCTTCTTACACAGTAGACCTCAGGGATGACAGATACAAAGTGTAAAATCAAGTTATCAAACATCCAGAATGTCGTACACTGTCAACACAGTGAAAGAGGGGTAAGATCAAGATACAACAAGCGTTAGAGGAGTTTGTCAATTGATTGATAGACACCCTGATAATTACCCTCTTTGGGGCCATTTCACACCTTGACTCGATTCCAGACAGCGGTGCTTAAAGCTGTGTGGATGTGTGTGCACTATGTTTACTGCATTTAAACATAGATAACCTGCAGGATAACACATCTCCCATCGGCTTCAGTGTTGATTAAGACATCTAGGGGAAAGCAGGAATCTAAAGATACATAGCTGAATCACAAAACTGAATTGTGTCACAAATCAAGTAAATCAGAATCAGAATACCTTTATTAGTCCCACAGAGGGGACATTTGCAGCGTTACAGCAGGAAAGAGCCACAGACTGTCAGGATCTGTCTTTATGGTGTTTTGTCTTGTTTCATGTTTTATGTTGAAAGGTCTTCACCTCCTGTCTTGCCTGTTTCTGTCTGCGTTGTGTCTTGTTTAAATCTGTCTGTGGTTCCCGGTCGTTAGTTTCCCTGGTGTGTCTAATTTACCCGATTGTGTTCATCTGGTGCCCCTGTGTTTTCTCCTTCCTCCTCACCTGTGTCTTGTTTCTGTGATTAGTCTTGTGTGTTCTGGTTTTTCTGTCTGTCTTTGTCGGTTCGTCTTTTGTCATGACTAGTTCGTCGGTGAGTGTTCTGTTTTGTCGTTGTTATCACCTAGCCTTGAAATAAAGGAATTGTCACTTTATTCTGCATTTGGGTCCTACCTGCTTCACACACCGTGACACAGACAGCTTAGTGTTGCATAGCTTACATGCGTTAAAAAAAAGTACTAAGTTATAATATAATAAACAATATGCTAAAAAAGTACTAAGTTATAATATAATAAACAATATGCTAAAAAAGTACTAAGTTATAATATAATAAACAATATGCTAAAAAAGTACTAAGTTATAATATAATAAACAATATTATAAGAACTAACTATAAGATAAAAACTAAAAAAGTTACATAATTTTCAAAAATACAGATCAAAAACAATTCAAATCTACAAATCAAATCCTGTAGCAGTTCTTAGGATTTAGCAGCCCGGTATATATTACAGTTATTAAAGATGGCATATGTATATAAAGTATATATTGCACATAAAGCACATATTGCACATAGTTTTTACGGTATTCAACAGCAGCAAGTTACACAATTTACAAAATACTAGATGCATACCTTGTAACAGTAACAAGGGTTTAGCAGCCAGGTATAAATTACACAGTTATTAACGGCATATATATATTGATTTAGCGGCCAGGTATAAATCTAAAACATTTAAATATATCATCCTCAGTCCACTTAATGTTTTATTGAATGCGCTTTTTATGCATAATAATAATAATACATTTTATTTCTATAGCGCTTTTCTTGAACCCAAAGACGCTTTACATTTGGGAGGGAGGGTAGACAAACAAAACAAAAACAAAAAACAAAGCCAAAAAGAAACAAAGAAACAAAACAGAAAAGCAGTCAGGAGGAAGTTGGTTGAGAGGAGGGGGGGGGGGCTTATGGATACAGAGTTGAAGAGGTGGGTTTTGAGGCGGGACTGCAACAGGGTGAGGGACTCAGAGGTCTCACGGAGGTCTTGGGGGAGGGAGTTCCAGAGCTTCGGGGTGCCACAGAGAAGGCTCTGTCCCCGAAGCTCCGGAGTTTGGCCTTGGGGATGGAAAGCAAACCGGCTGAGGTGGATCTGAGGGGCCGGGGTTGTTGGTAGAGGATGAGGAGGTCAGTGAGGTAGAGGGGGGGCCAGAGGGTGGAGGGCTTTGAAAGTGAGGACCAGGAGTTTGTAGTGGATGCGGTGTGAAACGGGCTTTCAGCTTTGTATACATAAGCATCCCCTTCCCTTATTCTCATTCTGCACATCAGCTCACATACAAGTGAGTTACAGTAGATGTGTATGGATTTTATGAAAAGAGACATGCATGTCATACTGGAAGAGTTTTCTTTTGAATGATGACTACATGTTCATATATGATGGACTATCTGTCTGTTATTCATTCCCACATTTATACTGTATATGTTTACGTTTGATCAATATAGTTATAGCGACAAGAAAACAAAATGAGATGCTCGTGGTGCTGTTTGTGATGTAGATGTTAAAATGGCACTGTCTTGAGATGGAGCTTAATTGAACTCATGATACTATTTTTCAGATTTCAGTCAAGCTTTGTATGCTTGTAAAAGAATATTACTTGTTGAATATACTTATTGCATTATTATAATTTGATGTAAAACGGTCTTTAAAACGAAGCTTTAAAACGAAGCTTTTTAAACATAACTACAGTAATTGTAGGAGGTGCACGGTTTTTTAAAGCAGTGCTGAGACAGAAAGACATAAAAGTATGATGGTTTAAATATCTTAGTGTTAGTTTTAGAACAATTTTAACTTTATTAAAGTTGAGACACACGTCCAGGTGACATAGAGGTCAAAACCATTGAATATAAGTGGAACATGTGCACTTGACCTTTGTTGCTCGTCTTTTAACCCTCGCTCTCTTCTTGCTTATTATCCTGTCTTTATCTTAAGTTTCATTTATTCAAAAAAAAGTACAAAGTACCGAAATCTATCTTTAAAATCACCACACAATGAGGCTCATGCAGGCAGAATGAAGCCATTCAGTGTGATTATCAGGCTACCTTCTAGTTTTATTTGCTGTTAAAATCTAGTTTGATAGTGAATTACTATGAAATTGCACATTTTCCGATTTTAAAAGGGTGAAAAAACATGGAATAAATGATTGCAATCAGTCAGGCACAGGAAATAATGAAACCCGCTTCGTAATCGTCTCAGTTTCCAACTGTAGTCAATTGCTCTATTGTTCCATTTGATTTTCTGAAGTGATGCATTTCCTTGAGTTTGGCTATGCAATCCACTCAACAACGCTGAACCATTGATTTTCATTTTGTCTATTGATCATCGGCAATAAATGGAAACCGGGGGAAAAAATACACTTAGAGCTCCAAGCAGTATTCATTTGTTTTGCTGCGAAATGGCTCTCTTCTATCTCCAAAAATATTTCCAGCATAAAAATCTCTGCTTGGCAAAGCTGAACTGAAAGCATTGTTCAGCACTCATTTGAGTCAAAAAGGATGTTTTTTAAATTTGTTAAACAGGACCGTTTAATTGGTTAAGTATGAATCATAACCACTCACTGCCACAATCAATGTTCCTCCGTCTCTAACAGCTTGTTCTGTTGTTGATGTATTGAGAAAAGCGTGGTGTAGAGAGGGAAACCAGCAAATTGAGCACAAATTGGTCTCCACGCTTGATGTTCTGAAACCAACCATTGTGTTCCAGTGTACTGCTGTGGGAGAACCAATTAAGGGGAACTTGGACATCCAGAAAACTCTGGGGGCCCAAAGTGTGGCGGACAGGGAGCCTCATGGCGGAAGGATAATTAATGGAAGAAGCAATGGGCAGTAGCGAAGCCCCCGGATCAGACCTCCATTCGGTCTGTTGTGGTGGTGTTGGGGGACGGGAGGCTTTTGGCCACAATGTCTTCCCATCACCGTGGCAACACTTGGAGCTGTGTTATGTCATTAATTTACATTTTCTGAGATTTTTCAAGCCTTGTTTTCCTTCGGTCGGAGCTGTGCACTGTTGTTTTCCCAGAGGTGTTCATTAACTGACCTGGCTTTAAAACAAACCAAAATATTCCCCCGATAAACCCCAGTTCACCCCCCCTGCTCATTTTTGTTTGAGTTAATTGTCAGCTTCATCTATTACTCATTCAAAACAAGGCCTGTTGGAAGCACCTCTGTGTCCGCCTTGCAGTCTGTGAAGTGCTTATTTACTTTGTGACGGCTGTGTGCAAATTAAAATGAAGCGCTGTGACATTGCTCGTCCTTATGGTTCAACGTGGGACCAACGCTACATCAAGACATAAAGAACGCCTCATAAATATAGTATAGAACTGTAGTTATAGAGCCATACAGACAGTCATATTTAACTTAAAAAATGAATATCTAAAAGAAACTTTACTGGTGGTAAAAGCAGATTAATGTCATGCTTCTTATTTGTGCGTAAATATGATGTATCTGTTGGCTTCAAAAGTAATGTGTAGCTTACGAATGAAACTAGACCAAGCAACTTTACCATTTAAAGTTTAAAGCTAAAGCCCGGAACTGCTGCATGGCATATTTATGAATACTGCCACTATCCTCACTTAATGTCACTATCTGTTGATAAAACACGTCTTGACAGGTCTCTGATGACTTTGTTTTGTATTTTTTATTTTGTTGTATGCTTTTCTCAATCTCAAACCGAACAATAGATAAACAAAGGAGATCACGTTCTGTAGCAGTATCAAAATTACTCAACAGAAGTGTCTGTCTGCACTCAGAGATTAAAGGGGCCTTAATATACTCATGTTCAGGTTCATATTTGTATTTTGCGACATATTTATATGCTTTATTCTTTAAAAAGTGCTTCTTTTTTTCTCAAATGTGTCTGTGCTATTCAGCCTCTGGGTGTTTCTCAATGTCGAGGAAGGCTGCTCCAGAGCCACTATTTCAACTACGTCATCGAGTGCCGCCGAAGGACTGTTCCAATGTCCAGCATACTTGGAATTCTACCGAGCCCGGCGTACTTCATTTGGAGAAATGTCGAGGCTGCACATGTGTAGACTCCGTGGTCTTAAAATCCCCACAATGCTTTGCGCACGGACCAATTTCCCCAAATCTGTGGCGGAAAATGTAAGGCGGGGCCTCTCATATGGCGCACACCTGCACACTTGCTCGCCTGTTCCATTCTTCGTTTTCCGAGGCTAGGAAGTATTCTTGCCTCGCTTCTGAAGCAAGTGACTCGGTAGACATGTGCTACCAAGCAAGCGTACTCGACATTGAGAAACACCCTGGGTGTGAGGATGCTGGCTTGGTAGTCGCGTACTTCCAAGTCACTTCCTTCAGAAACGAAGCAAGTATACTTCCAAGCCACGGCTTTGGAAAACGAAGAAGAATGGAACAGGCTAACAAGTGTGCCACTCTCTCTAACGGTTTCAACATAAACTGTACCGAAAATAAATACCTCACGATGTCTATCTAATTATGAACTTGCTTTATTTTCACGGAACACATTTTTGGTGATAACAAATGTAACAAAGTAACATATTTACCAACACATGTTCTACGCCACTACATACTTACATTTAAATGTGTGCTGCGTCGGTTCAGCCATTCTCCACAAGGGTTTTTGAAATTGGTCCGTGCGCAAAGCATTGTGGGGATTTTAAGGACGCGAAGTCTACCCATGTGCAGCCTCGAAATTTCCCCCAAACCAAGGACGCGGCCTCGGTGGAATTCCAAGTATGCCGGAGATTGGAACAGTACTTCGGCGGCACTCGATGACGTAGCATCCTTGAAATATTGGCTTGGAAGCCAGAATCCTCGAGATTGAGAAACGGCTCCTGTGTCTGAGACCAGAGCCAAGTCTGCTCTGATTGGCGTATCACGTACAATGTGTTGGAGCGCTAGCCAATAGAAACGCAAGTGTTACATAGCGAAGAAAGTCCAATGAAGGCATTTCAGTGTGTGGGAGAGAAACTCCATCTGGAGGGATTTTTAGGATTGTATTCTTTGCAGACCATTTACATGGACAACAAACGAAATCACACACCATAGGGAAAGACATTTGCAGACCATTAAGTTGATTTCAGATTAACGTGCCCATAAACCTATACAACAGGAAAGGGAACCCCTAAACAAGCATCATTCATAGGGCCTCTAGACGTTGCCTTCTGGTTCCCACTTGCAAAAACCTAAAGAAACAAACACTCTTTTATACCCCCAGACATTTCACCGCTAAACTCTAACAGCAACATAAACTATACGCAATACCATCCAACCATGTTAAATAAATATTGCTTTTAAATAAAAAAATGTAAGGTAACTAGGCTTTGTCTTTTATTCTATGTGTATTTAATTGCCTTGTGTGTGTGTTTTGGACCTTGTGTTATTTCTATTTTCACTGCTGCATAACCAACTTCACTAATAATGAATAACTTCACTTAAATGTATTTCTGTGTAGAGAATGTTTAGCAGAATTCACACTTAAAGTTAAGGTGAAGTATATCTTTTATTGAAAAACACCCTTTGATGGTGATGATTGATTTTTCAAATGTCGTTTTTCTCACCTCAAGGTAATTTACTGCCCATTTTGCTCTCACTATTGTAAATTCAATTAACCTTATATTCTTTCTTTACAGATGCTTTTTATGACATTGTCACCGTGGGCGCCCCTGCAGCCCATTTCCAGGGGTTCAAGTGTGGCGGTCTGCAGCGTCTCCTCAGCAGATATGAATCAGAGAAAAAGAGGTAGGAGGAAATCACCTTAACCTGTACACCATGGTGTTTAGAGGAAGCATGGATAATTTAATACAGTTTACATGCTGAGGTGGAAACAGGCTTTCATGACAAAATAATTCAATTTGGGTATAATTGATAGTGGCAGACAGATTTGTCCCTGGCCTATGGACTTGATTTTCTAAGCCCACACAGTTACTTACTGTAATGCCAAGCCATGTTCAATTGAGACTGGAACAGCTTGACTGGAGGCTATACAGACATGATGGGAAAGGTGTGGTGAGTCACAAGTTCCTCTGTGCGGGTGCTTTTCACTGGAAAACACTTTTTCTTTTCCTCCATCCGGAAAATGAATATTAAAGCAGAGCCACCCATTTTGCTACATCCAAGATGCACCTAAAGTTAGCTCTTAAGAAGCAATTAAAAGAACAAATGATCAGACTTTTATGTAAAGAATGTATGTATGTATATATATATATATATCTTCTAAGGTAAGATCACTGCTTGTATTGTTACTAAAAAAAATATCAGATATGTAGCTGAACCAAAAACTGGTGAATCTATATATGCAAATATCACTCCGGCCTAATGTTTCACCTTTTACTTTTAATTGAAAAAACGGAGAGATATACTTTAAGCAGACTAGATAGTGTTTTTGATATTGTATATGTTCATGTTTGGTCCGTCTTTGTACCAACTGCTTGATGGAGAAAATATGTCTTGTGTGTGTTTTCATCCACTGACCAAAAATTGCTTGCTCCACAAATGCCTACGGTTTAATAAATTGAATGAGACCATGTTACTATGATTGTGTTATACAAACATAGACCCAAAGATAAATGTACTGTGTGCTCACATGCAATGACAGAAAGTGCACTCTGGGAGACTCGTCCATACAACTTCCTCAGACCTGAGATCAGCAGTATCCTGTGAATGTTGCTGTCTTTGCCCTTTAGATGCAGGCGGAGGTATATGTCACTGGAGTTCAGTATGTGGTCACTTGAGTGATGCCAGAAGAAATGAAGGGTGATTTTTCCCAAAGCTCCCCATAGAGCGCAAAGTCATTACAGACCATGCCAGATCCAATTAGTTACAGAGTTTGCAGCTCAAGAAAGAGGGGAGGAGAGGCAAGATGAAGAGGGCTGAGGTGTGGCTATGAAATGGATAAGTTGATTGGAAAATACTTTTGGGGGGGTGCTGATAATAAAAAATGAAGATATCTTTACGCTAAAGTGCACAAGTGCTGAAGATGGTCAGTTTTATCTGCTAGCATGAAATATGATAAGATTAGCACATTTTGGAGAATCCACTGAAGTGAAATCATTTTCTTTGAACGAGAGATTAGACTTCAGAAAGAAGTCTCCGGGGAGACAGCTTTGTGTTTCGTATTTGACTTAGCTAATGACTCACTGTAGCTTAAATTTTCCAATTTTACGCCTGGCTAACTGACTGCGGCCTGCGCTGAGTCTTATCATTTGTCAGTCATCGGCAGAAATGGGGTGAAGCCTGCGAGCTAGTTCAGGCAGTCAACTCGAGCACCAATCATACATTAACACGTGACGCACCTCGTCCCTCTTACAACCAACCAAACACATTCTCCTAAACATGCCAGGTCTTCCTGCCTCTGCCTCGCTATGCTGCTGCTGCCACTGCTGTGTTCACTTGCTATTAGGGATGTAACGATATATCGAATATCGTAATATCGCGGTAAATAAATGTCTCAATACCGTCGTGAGACTGACAAAATATACCGCGATTCAAAATAAATAAATAATTGTATAACCTTTATTCAACCAGGTGGTCCCATTGAGATCATCAATCTCTTTTTCAAGGGAGACCTGTCCAACATGGCAGCAAGTAGGTTACAACATGAACATAAAACAACAGATAACACAAAAGGACATCGTATTTACAGGGCTACATGCACATAGAGACATTGACAAGTACCAACAGTATATTTATATCTCGCCCTGTCAATAAGCCTCACCTTCTTGGCAAAAACTGTATTGTTTTTGAAGTGGTGGAGAGACAATGCACAGTTTTACCCACTGCTGTCACCCATGGCCAAAGCATATCTCTCTGTCCCAGCAACATCAGTACCAAGCAAGAGAGTTCTTTCCACAGCAGGGGATATTGCAAACGCCCAAACATCCCAGCTTCTACCTGGAAATGTGGACATGCTCATATTCCTAAAAGATAACCTTGATGACGTTGAGTGAGTGAGTTAGAGTTGAGTTACTTAAAAAACTAAAGTGAAACTTGAGTTATTCTATTGAAGGGTCTGATTATTATATTGTTGACACTTTAAAATACTACTATCCTACTAAAATGCTGTACAGATCAGATTTATTATTTAATAAAGAAAAACAATTCAAGTAAAAAAACATTCACATTTTTTTCTTTATTTTTCAATATCGCGATAATTATCGTACCGTGGACTTTTATCGCGATATTATCGTACCGTGAATTTTTGGTATCGTTACATCCCTACTTGCTATTGCTGCGTTCATGTTGCTGCTGCTCGCCTGTCCCCCCACCACCCCAGCTTCCACCTGTAGGCTCGGGGATAGTTATCTAATCATCACTCAATGTTCTTTGTAAATCTGTGGAGCGATGAGGCCCGAGCCTAGACGCCAAACTCAAACTATATGCTGCTTATCATAAACATATTAAGAAACACGTGAGTTGTCTGAACTGAACTGGGAATAAACTGAGTTTCTCTCTGATTCCGCAGTGGCTAATGTAATAAAGGTGTGTTTACTTTCAACATGTAACATTCATTATTTCATGGTTAATTCAGTTTCAATATGCATGCACTAAATGAATAATATGTATTCTAGAAGGACCTGATTATCGTTTTGTTCAGGTGTGTGTGTGAATGTGAAGTACTGTATTTCACATTCACACTGTGTGCACTCTGTAGACGTGCACAAGTTCGGTTGAGTCACTTAATTGCGCAGAAAGTATAGCTTATCTGAGGTTAGAATAAATAAGATAAGATTCAACTCTATTGTTGTTGAACATACAGTAGTACAACAAAGTGCAGTTTTCATCCAACTACAAAGTGCAAAGAGTAGATAAAGTGCATGAAGTTACAGTATATTCTCAGCAAGGATACAGTATCAAAGTGTTAGCCTATGTGAGGGAAAATACAGACACGTTTGTATGAATATGAAATAAAAAATTTACAGATAATGTGCACGTTTTTAAGCATATACAACGTAAATTAATGGTGTGTGTGTGTGTGTGTGTGTGTGTGTGTGTGTGTGTGTGTGTGTGTGTGTGTGTGTGTGTGTGTGTGTGTGTGTGTGTGTGTGTGTGTGTGTGTGTGTGTGTGTGTGTGTGTGTGTGTGTGTGTGTGTGTGTGTGTGTGTGTGTGTGTGTGTGTGTGTGTGTGTGTGTGTGTGTGTGTGTGTGTGTGTGTGTGTGTGTGTGTGTGTGTGTGTGTGTGTGCACTTCACCCAGTGTGTCTCTTTGCCCATCTGAGGCAGCCTTTTGTAATCACATTTGATTGAAAGGGGAACAATCGGCAAGATGTGAGACTTGGCCGTTCAATGTGATATTAATTCATCAAAGAGAAGATGGAAAGGGATTGAGGGATGGGTAAAAAGGAAAACCTGAGCACAGAGGTGTTACCAAGAGGGCAATAAAAGAGCTATTCATCTTTGTTCCATGGACACTAGAAGAGCGGAGGGGTTATTTCCAGATCCATTTAAAAACCTGCATTGGCCAAACTTGGCAATGACCAGACTCTGTGATGTAGCTTGTCTCTCAGGATGGGCCAGGAAAGAGCTTAATCAATAACTACACTTCGTATTCCTCCAGAAGCCTTGCTCATGTACACTCAGGGCAGGCCCATTTATCTTTCATTAATGCAAGCAGTCCCACTTAAATGGATGTTTTATGGAAGTCACTGGATTTTATCCGTTTTTAATTGAACCCTAGATTCACCTAGATGAAGCTGTGGATTTGCTGATGTGGCTTAATCTATCATTAACAGCCTCTTTTGAATTATTCAGATAATCTGCAACACACTTTGGTTCCAAATTGTTTCCTACCTCTACTGCTGATGTCTGCGTTATTATTGCGCATGTATCGAAGTAGGATGTAGACAGTAGTGTATTTTTAACTTGTGTGTTGTTATTTTCAGTATATTGTCAGACAGGTGCCTGTTTGTGAGGTCAGCTGTATCTAGTTGGAGCAGAAGCTGTGCAGTAGAGCTCCTCTGTACATGTGTTGTTAAAATCTGTCCACTGTTACAGAGAGGAAAGAAGCTGTGTCGTTTCAACAGGCCTCCCGGTCAAGCAGAACTGCAGAATGACACATTTCTGGGACACAGAGAGTGGTGGAAACTGCATCGCATGTCTCTTGGGGCCAATGGTCAGATTTAATGTGACTAGCAGCATGTTGTCCAACAAAATAACTTTCTCGCAGGTGTGTGTGTGTTTCAGACGCCGGACATTGGCAGTGTCTGCTCCATGCTGATGGACAGCAGCTTGTTAATCCTCTGCCGGCTCCAGGTCTGTGAGCGCTGGTGCTGGCAGCCGCATTGAGGCTTATATGGTCTCAAATCAGGGTTGCTTGTTTGTGACTGAACTGAGGAAAGCTTTGGCTGATACTCTGAGAACTGATGTGAGATCTGTGCCCGGTGGATGCTTCAACGACAGATGGAGTTGGCAGAAAAAATAAGCTGGTTTGAGATCAGATCATGTATCTATAGCGACTGTGTGTTTTTACTGTGGGTATGTGGTAGTGTCCCGGTGTAAGAGCCGTGATTACAGTGTGCTGTCTGAATGACGAAGGAGGCTTTGTTCGTCACCTGGTGTGCTGCAGAGCTCTCTGCTGACGTAGCTGCATTTTACTCCTGCTGGCTGTCAGCAGCACGCCACAAGATCTTCATTAATTTCCTCTCCACTATTAATTAGACATGCGCGGAGATGCTGTCTTAATTAGGCCTCTGGGCCCAGCGGTTCTCTCCCTCTCATTACTGTTATAACCAATTCCCATTGATC